TATTGTGTCTGAAGTATTTTGGAAAGCAAGATTGGCACTAAAAAATACTAAAGTGTCGATCACTTCAAGCAAGCGCTTCGCCGGAAATGGACCAAAATACCGCAGACAACAACATTCAGGCAGAATGTGACGGTTTCATTGGCTGTTTGTAGGCCATAATTCGTGCCAAAGGTGACCAATTCGAACAAATCTAAACTTGTTCTGAAATTTGATGCTATTTCCGACATTTTCATTAAGATTTTAAAAAAAAGTAAAAATTATGGCGTTTGTCTTCGTTGCATTTTTATCTCACCCTGTATATAGTAACTATTGTGCCGCTCGTTCTCGCCAATAACTTTTACGTTTTCGGAGCCACCGAGTTGGAAATTGGCCTCATCATTGAGCTTGATTTTTAATAGAACTGTGGATCATTTTCATGCATTTCAAAAACCTCATCCCTTAATATATCAACCCTTGGTGGAAACTCCTACAACGTCATTTTGTTTTTGTATGCTCTTAATAGAGGAATGGAGTTACATACATATCCCTGCTGATAGATCTAGTATTGAACATAATTGTTGTAGTATTGAATTGAATTAGGAGAATCATTTTGAATTTTATAAGAGCATATACCCCTTTTGGCATGCCCAAGAAGCTGCAAATTGGTATTGTTTATTTCCACACTAGCCATTTTCGCATCATTCAGAAGCAAACATTCTTATATGCTAAGTTTGAATAATATCAGACTTTTTATGCTTTAAAAAATGTGTACCATTTTGCGTGATATTCTAAAAAAAAGGAGAAGGCCGATGTTACCCATCTTCCAACTCGATCTAAAAATGGGAAAAATATTACAAGTTTGAACCCAACCGATGTTATCCCTGAGAGACTTATCGTACGCCTTATATCTTCTAGAACAGATTGCGTTCAAAATGTTTGTAGCTAAATTTCAAAGGACTGTCTGCTAAAGAGGGCCGCATTTATGAAAGCTGAGTTCTAATGGCTAAACTAACTGTTTAAACCACTCTCCGAAAACATTTTTAAGCAACTTGGCAATATATGTTGAATAACTTGCATAAAGGTATTTGTCTGGGTTACATTTTTTGAAATAGTCTCTGTGTAACCTAATCTCCCTCTTTGAATTTTCTCTTAACTTAACAACTAATATGTTTATACTCTCTACCATAGATAAAAAGGAGGGTTTTCCCTTTGTAACTCATCAAAATAATCACTTAAGACCCAACAAAGTATATACATTTATGATCAGCTTAAAATTTTAAGGCCTACGGGAATCACTCTAACTTTCGAACGAATTTGCGCACGATTTTCTACAAAGCACTCAATTTATGGTACAATTTAGGTACCATTTTCTATTTATTTAGTTATTATTATTATTATTTTTATCTCAAATTTCCAAATATGCTTATCAATCCTTTTAATTTTTCTCATTGATTTATGTTAAGGAAAGATAAAAATACCCTTATCTTGTTTTGGTTCTATTTTGAGTTTATGTTTTATCCTTGTATTTCTCCTCCCTCGGCTTTATGTTTATAGAGAGTACATATCGTTGAATATGGCCAAAAATATGCCTCTTCAAAATATGTTTTTGTAAGTTATACATTTTAGGATTGCCCGTTTGAGGACATTTTGAAAATAGTCCAAATTTTGAAATAGTCATAAAAATTCTGCATGTTGGAAGCAGTCTCCGTTAAGGCCTGAACTTTGAGCATTAAAATTTTTGAGCATAGATGTATCATGCTCCAAGATTTCATTATTTACTCTTTTGACAGATTCCAAAATGTATAGACAAACAAGTTAAAAAGTATCAGCCGGTTTTGACGACCCATGTATAACCTCAGCCAATGTTCGATTATTTAAATATATCTTGGCTTCTGTTTTGATTATTCAAGTTATTGGCCCTCTATGGAGTAGGTCCCGAAGGAATGGGCCAATATTCTCCATTTCGTATAGAACCTAAATTAATATGTTTTGGACTCAAATTTTGACCCTTTGTGTGGGAGGAACCAAAAAGATTGGTCCGATCTCTACCATTTTTATAACAGATCTTGATTTGATGGAACTATTGAGATGTACCAAGTCTGAAACTTGGATATTCAAAATGTTGAACCTTTTGTGGGGGAGGCACCAAAAAAAGTGTCAACCTATGTCAAAGACATAGAAGTATAAAGAAAGGACAAGACACAGTCAAAATATGGCAACCCTGTGAAAATATCTCTGTTTTTATGATATCATAACATCATATTTACGAATGTAAACTGATTTAAAACGCTAAGGCAATAAGCAAGTTATTGGAAAGGCCTATGGAATACAATTTTGAAATCCCTTTTTTTGGATTTTTCAAACTTTTATTCATCATTCGTTTCTGTAATTGTGGTTTTTATATTAACATGCCTCTGCCATGATATGTCATTCTAGATAGTGTAGTCTTTACCATTTTAAGTCTTTGCCTATGTATCCTATCTTCACAGCAAATCTTGTGTTAGTAGAAATAATGGTATGAGTGAAATATGAAGAGTACCGGATGCTTATTTCGGATATTATGATCGTTTTGGTTATTCAAAACTTTGACCCTTTGTTGCGGAGGTACCAAAAATAATGGTCCGATCTCTACCATTCTTTTAGCAGATCTCGTGTTGATTGAAATTTGAGATGTACTAAGTCTGAATGGATTCGGATGTTAATTTCGCGTTTTATGAGCTTCATTAATATCAAAATTTTAGACCCTATGTGGGGGAGATACCAGAAGAAATGGACCGATATATTCCATTTTTACACCAGACCTTGGATTAATGAAAATATTGTGTAAATTGAAGACATTCGAACTCTTAGATCACATTTTATAAGAATCATAATTATTCAAAATTGACCCTTTTGGGGAGGAATTACTTGATGGTGTGGACCGATATTGTCCATTTTCGCATCTAACCTAGCACTGATGAAAATATTAGGATTTGCAAAGTTGGAGCAAAATTCTCTCTCCTTCTGTGTAGTAAAATATCTATTTTTTTTTTAATTTTGACCCGTTGTGGGTGATGTACCAGAAGGAGTGAAACGATTTTGCCCGTAATACTCCCTTCGAGAGTTATCGTGGTGCACCAGCCAGATATACGGACATCGCTAGATCCTGAATTCTAAAAAATATCCTGAAATGGATTTTGTCCAAAGAGAGCTATGGTGTAAAACAGTTATTTCGATGAGGCACGTTTTGGCCGTATCAAAGGGGATTGAACCCAGCCGTAAATATAGTAGTCATTTTTTTGTGCTAAAACGACTCAGCTTGGCGATATAGGAACACTGATATTCTACATGGTTTGTCTAGGACCAATATTTCAAGGCTTTCCAATTTTTTTGCCCAAAAGAAATGTATAATACCTTCTCCACAGGATGATGTAGGGTATAAAAATTCAGTTATTACCGATTATATACAATTTTCGCAATTGTAATATTTCTACTCAACCTAGACCGAATTTCGGAGATGAAAATCTTCTGAGGTAATTTGTCTGTCCGACATATTCGTTTTTCATTGCTCGAATGTATTTGATTCGATTTTTAAAAAAATCATTCCATTTTTCCTTGATTCATCTAAGCCGTCTTGTGTAACGCCTTAAAGTATGCACCATTCTTTAACATTTAATTTCTTGATGTATTTGTAAGAAGAGGAATTAATACACAATGCAACACTGATATTGTTGCCGCTATCATTAATATTTTTTGTTGTTGGGAAGTTTATAATCTTTTCAGAGTAGACGAAAATGAGTAAATATAAACTTCGAATTCCGCTCAAAAGAAATTTAATGATTTATTTTTCCATTTAAATTTGAAAAAAATATCCTTTTCCAAGATATTCAATATTTTTTTCCTGTCACGAATCAAAGGATTAAGAATTCATTCATAATTTCTGTTTATTGTCTGTCTGTGTTTTGGCATTTGCGTCAATTTGCTGTCAAAAAGGATTCTGTACTCTCACTCTGCCGCTCTCTCTCTCTCCCCATTTTTTCTCTCCCTAGGACTCGGGCTTAATAAAAACACCTTTTGTGTAGGTGGTTAATGATGTTCCAAAATGTAGCAAACGAAACCCCGTCATACAAGGAGTGAGAGCATAAAGGCAGAGAGAAAGAGAGTGTGTGAGTATGAGACCCAGAGAGTATATCATCTTACAATTTTGAAGATGTCACACAAAAGAAAATGTTGCTCAAGAAGAAGAAAACCTCCAACGAATTTGTAATGATAGCTGCTCTGTGTGTGTTTTTGTTGTTGAACAGAGCTGGGAAATATTACAAGAGATGTTTTTTATACACACAAACACACACTCACAGACACTCATGTTTTAGCCTTATGCATAAAATAATGTTTATGAATACAGACGCACACACACACACATACACACAGACAATGGCACATTTATAACTTTCGAGTTAAAAGAAGATGCTTTTATGCATTTATGTATGTTACAAAGTTTGTGTGTGTGAGTGTTTGTATGTGTATATATTCGTTTAAAAGTGTGTCTGTATGTACATGGGGAAAATATATATTAAAGATTTTCCTCGTTTTCTATATGTTCCTCCCGTTTTCATTTGCCATAAATTTAAGGATATTTTATTTTTTATTTTTTGATTTAATTTTTTTTTCTTGGGATTATTATTTTTTTCCAGGACAACTGCATTTGAAGTAATTTTTAGTTGGTTTGTCGTCGTTTATTTTGAGAGCTCCCTTGTTTTTCTTCGGGCCACACAAAAATACAAAACCACGCCTTAATTTTTAATGAAGTTTTTCACTTTCAAACTGTATTTTTTTGGTGCAAACTTTTCTCGGCAGCTTAAAATACTTTTCAATCTCCTCTTGAATTGCTTTGCGCTTTTCTTAATTTTTCCAATTTGGAAAACTGGGATATTTTTCGAATTTCTTCACAAAAGTAGATACACTTTTTCTCCACTGCACACAAGCACACACAAGACGAGAACACAAGAAAAAAAAAAACACAGAAATTGTTTTCATTTCACCTTTCAACTCGCTGAATTTTTGCTAGGATATCGGTCGTTCGGTTCGGTTTTCGTAGCAGTTTTCTTATTTTTTTCGTTTCGTTTTTTTCTACTTGTGGTTTTAATAAATTATTTCTTTAGACATTTTATTTTTTCAGATGATATTTTTTTTATTTTTTGGAATGGAAATTTTGCCGTGTCGCGTTTATGGATCGATTTCTTTTTTTTTCTTTTTTTGTTATTAAAAATTGAAATTGGTTTTCATGCTATGTGATTTGATTTGATTTCTTCTCTCCACACTCAAAAATTATGGGGAATATACAATTTTTTCTAGATGTTTTTTTTTTTTTTGCTTTATTTTTTTTTGTTATATTCTGTGTGTTATCCAAAGAAGTCGATTATCTTACAACACTGCACACAACCGTCGTCTATGAAATTCGTTAAATGTTTGCTACGGCTCTTTCTGGCACACGATAATGGATGCTGTCTAGCTGGCTGGCTGGATGCTGCTCCTGGGTTCTGTCACTGTGTTTCGTTTCAGCTCAGCTGTGTGCTTTGTAACAAAGGTACGTACACATGCACACATACACAGCTTTATTTAAACCAAATACACTGAGAAAGAGAGAAAGTTACTCTCATTGAGAGAGCGAGCAGGGTTTTCTTCCTTTTTCTGTTTAAGGGAGGGAGAAGGGAGCTCTAAGTTTAACCATTCATTATTACACACATGTTGTTATCACCACCTCCCCTACACAACGCTACGTGATGCAGGGTTTTGGAAGTTTATTTTTCGTTCACGAATTTGTAACACTTTCAATTATGGGGTAGAATTCAAAGTTTTCGAAACTATGCCGAATAGGCTTTCTGGGTTTTCAAAGATCCAGGATAAAGGGAAGTTACTTTGCCTGTCCAGATACCACTCAAATTCTTTCATAATTTGGCAGTTTGTCATGGCCCTTCCAATTTAGAGAACTTAGAAAAGAATTTACAAAACTTAAGATGTAGCCAAAAAAAAATTAAGAAATAACAAGAAAAAAAGCTGTAAGTTCCGGCCGAGCCACCATTTGGTACAAATTTGGCAATTTTCAAAAAATTAAAATCCATTAAAAATTCTGTTAAAATCTTAAAAATACCGAATGTAGCAGTTATATTAGGGTCTATACGACGACGTGGACCTGCATACACAACTTTTGTCATAAGCCTGCACAGACAATTTTCTGTCTTGGGCTGCAGTATCCATTACGAACTTCAAATACCAAATTTGAAACAATTGCGGTGAACAATGTCGCTAAAATCATAAAAATACCGAATATCGGGAGGTACCGTTTTATGGGGGCCATACGAAGACGTGGACCAGCACAGACAATTTTCTGTCTTAGGCTGTAGCAGCTATTACGAACTTCAAATACCAAAATTGAAACAATTCCGGTGAATAATGTCGTTAAAACCATCAAAATACCGAATATCGGGAGGTACCGTTATATGGGGGCTATACGAAGACGTGAACATGCACAGACAATTTTCTGTCTTAGGCTGTAGTATCCATTACGAACTTCAAATACCAAATTTGAAATAATTCCGGTGAATAAATTCGTTAAAATCATCAAAATACCGAATTTTGGGAAGTACCGTTATATGGTGGCTATACGAAGACGTGGACCTGCATTGTATATATTGGCTATGTAAAATATTCAGATTAGAGCTGAAAATATGGCTGGCACTTATAAAACTATGGGCGAAAGTCCAACTGGCGTCCAACGTGTGACCTCAAATCGGCTACAAAACTGGATGCTGTAAATGATACACATCGACCTACCACCTTATCACAACAATATCCAATATCCCATCAACCGTGAATTTCGAAAACTTATTCCACATATGTAGGAAATTGAAACGAAAGACTATCTGGCGCCCAACGTGAAAAGTCAAATCAACCAACATATCGAATGTTTCAAATAATACCGTGAACACCCTCTGCACGTCGACCTACCACCTTATTGTTTACCCTCAGTTACGAAACTTTTTTTTTCCAACGATCCAGGACATTCTACAGATGTTGGCTATGGACATTCTACAGATGTTGGCTATTCAGATTAGATCTGAAAATACGGCTGGTGTTTAAGAAACTATGGGCAAAGGACTTCCTGGCGCCCAACATGTCAACTCAAAACGGCCACAAAATCAGATATTTGAACGTGAACGCCCTCTATACGTTGATTGACCTCCTTAACGTCATATTTTACATCCTTAACTAAATTGTTGAGAGTGAGTTACGAAAATTTACTTTCCAGTGATGTATGGCACCTTCTTATAATTTCTGGCTATGTAACATGGGAGATGAGAGAGGAAAGTGCAGGTGTTCTTTATTAGGTAGAACGACTATCTGGTGCCAAACGTGTCAAGCCTCTACGCATCAACCTACCGCCTTAACAAAACCTGTAATTTCCTCATATCACACATTGTTTACCGTAAGTAACGAAACATTATTTTCCAGCAATCCATAGCAACAACCTTCTACATCTGCTGGCTATGTAAAATAAGCAGAGCTGAAAATATGGGGTTTCTGAAGCTATGGGCGAAAGACCAACTGGCGTCCAACGTGTCATGTCAAATCAACCACAAACCTGGATGCTTTAAATGATACCATGAACGCCCTCTACACACCACCACAACGCCACCTTATCGCAACATTTAATCTCCTATCATAAATTGTCGACCGGGGGTTCCGAAACATTATTTTCCAACTATTGATACCAAGCAACTTTCACATATGCTGGGTATGTAACATGGGCATATTAGATAGGAAATTGGGGCGAAAGACTATCTGGCGCCCAACGTGTGAAATCAATAGGATGCTTCAAAATATACCATGGGCGCCCTCTATATGTCGACCTGCCGCCTTAACAACACATTTAATTTTCTCATATCAAAAATTGTTTACCGTGAGATACGAAACTTTATTTTCCACCGAATCATAGCAACAACCTTTTACAGCAGTTGGCTATGTAACTGGACAGATTAGAGTAGAAATTATGGATGGTGTTTAAGAAACTATGGGCTAAACACTATATTGCGCCCAACGTGTGACTTCAAATCGGCCACAAAACCAGTTGCTTCAAATAAGGCTATGGACGGCCTCTACACGTCGACATATCTCCTTACCACAACATTTATTCTCCTATCATAAATTGTCGACCGCGAGTTACGAAATTTTATTTTCGAGCTTTAACTACCAAGGACTTTCTACAGGTGTTGGCCATGCAACATGAGTAGATTAGGAATGGCGCCCAAAATTTCAAGTCAATTTGGACAGAAAATTGCCGGAGGTGTTTATATAACTATTGGCGAAAGCTATCTGGAGCCCAACATGTAAATTTAAATTGGCCACTACACCCTATGCTTAAAATTACGCCATGGACGTCTTCTAGACCTTTCTCCTTATCACAACATTTGATTTCCTATCATATTGACCGAGAATTAGGAAACGATATTTATCGGCGATCAATGGGTCTTCGCATTCTACAGATGTTGGCTATGAAACATGGACAGATAAGAGAGGTAAAATGAATGGTGTCTGTAAAAATTATAACGATTGGCTATTTGGATAAGACTTAATCTTAAGTTGATATTCGGGGTCTTCGAGGGAATTGTCAACAAGTATAACCGCCATATACAGGGTGAGATAAAAAAATTGCAACAGAGTCAAACGCCAAATTTTTTTAATTTTTTTTAATTTTATTGAATGAAAGCAAAAAATGTCGGAAATAGCGTTAAATTTTAGAATAAGTTTAGATTTGTTCGAATTAGACACCTTTGGCACGAATTATGGCCTTCAAACGGCCAATGAAACCGTCACACGCTGCTCTGCCGTATTTTGGACCATTCCCGGCAAAGCGCTTGCTTGGGGTGATCGACACTTTGGTACTTTTTTAATGCCAACCTTGCTTTCCAAAATACTTCAGACACAATAGTCCAACGGATTGGTATTCGGAGATTTTGGTGGCCATTCTGCGCTGGAAATGAAGCGAGAAACCTCATTTTCTAACCATTCTTGGATGGCGCGTGCTGAGTGCGATGGTGCTGAGTCCTGCTGGAATTTCCAAGGTCTGCGGCCAAAATCTTCACATGCCCAAGGCTTTAATACACCCTCCAGAATATTTTCGCGATAATATTCGGCATTTATTCTGCTGCCACGATCGATTAATACGAGAGAGCGGAGAGCGACCATCGGCTGTTATGGCGGTCCATACCATCATTAAGGCCAGCGCTTGAGTTCTGGTGGCCAACCGAAATTGCATATTTTCAGCTGACCTCTTTGGCAAGTAAACACGATCATATTGTTTTTTTACAAACTGATGGACAACGAATGTTTTCTGATCGGAGACGGCAGTTCACCACTTTCTGTTGCGGTGTAAGTTCTTACACTTTTTGGAATTTCAATGGCTTTAGCCCGAGCTCATTTTTCAATATTTGCCGAATAGAATATTGCGATATGTTCAGCTCACGAGCCATTTTTGCGGCCACTGCGACGCGGGTTTCGATCAAGTCGCTTTTTTACTTTTCGAACCATTTCTGCTGATGTTTTGTGTTTTCTTCCGTCCACTTCCTTGACGTCGGGCTACCCGCTAAACAGACATAAAAGATTTATTCACAATTAAATGCTGGAGTGCTCCAACGATAGTCACTTGTGGTTTTCCAGCCAAATATTGCGACATCACACTATCACGCTTCAATTCCATCACGAATAATTTTTTTCCTGGCAAATTCTCACCAGAATGCTTTTGTACGCTTGTAAACAATATAATGAGCTGTCACTGGAATAATTTTAACAGCTGTCGGACGAGTGGCTTAGAAATGACAGCAGTCTGAAGTTGGTAGCAGTTTCTTCATCTCACCCTGTAAGATTTTCCTACAGTATAATCCCAGTATTTGGTTTAGCATGAGTGGCAAAAATCCAAAAATCGACTTTGGGTATAGATTTTCGATTTCGAGATCATTAATTCTTTGTCGACTTTTCATTTTCAGACGAAGCAAGGTGAACGTGTTTTTTGTGTTGATTTTTTATTCTCTTAATATTGCTAGCCAAAATTTGATTATATTATCTGTTGAAAAATCTGAACGCCTTAAAATCTAAAATCCAAGTCGACTTTATTTAGCTCATACGAAAATCGATTTTAGACGATTCAACAAAATTTAAAGCCGATTTTTTTTTATTCATGGCAAAACTATAAAAGTCGACTTTTGTTTTCAATATTTAGGCATTGCAATAGGTTCACCTGAATTAGTTCCTTACGATATGTTAAAATTGCAATTGCTTACATTTTATTTTTCGAGTTTGTAATGCAAAAAAATTATATTCTTGACATTTAATTCAGCCTCCGATTTTAGAGATTTAAATGCTATTTTTAACGATTTTTCCACATTTCATGTAGGGTATATCAAATTCGACTTGTCCTTTTTATTACTTTATTTATTTCATAATGTTTTTTATGTTTAATAATAA